ATTATGTGACTTGGTCTTTTTATTCTAAGTAGATTAAAAACTCTGTCTTTATCAGAATAGATTAGTGTATGCTACAGCCACAAATGAATCCTGAAACTCAGAGGTTTAGTGAATGGATACTTACGTGTATTTCGTGTTGCATTACTTGTCCAACACAGGTGGTTGGGATATGGGAGTGGAGAGTTCTCCAGTTACTCATTCAAGGACCCAGGCTGACCAAGTCCCCACCGTCTAATACCTCTCTGGTTGCTGTGGTGGGAAAGAAGAGCTGGAGCATCCTTCACTGCTCTCAAATGCTTCTGCCTGAAAGTGCTATGCTATCTTTGCCTCCAATCCATTGACCAAAGTAGTCACATGTTCTTCCCCATCCAGTTGTCGGAGCTGGAAAGGATGACGGAGTTCATGAACATTTGGTGAGCAACGTCTCTTCCATTGCTCTCCGAGGACTTAAGACATAGAATTGTACGTGCTTAAGATGTGGCGCTGTAGAATTAATACTGGGCTGTTAGCCACAAGATTGGCAGTTTAAACCCACCAGTCACTCCATGGAAACCCTATATGGGTTGCTGTGAGTCACAACTGACTCGGCGGCCTGTAACAACACCAAGAAAGACTCTATACTGCAAACAACACCAGATAGAGCCATACTGTCGGATACTAGCTTTGTGTATCTGCATAAGTTCTCAGCCTCTCTCAGACATAGTTTAATCTGCCAGCTTCAGTTATAACATCCTAAAAGAAGGCTAAAGGTTCTGACTCTACTTGGGGAGACCAGAGGGAAAGAGATGATAGTAACTGAGGTGAGAGATGGCCAGTGTTTGGACCAGGCTGATGGTATCTGATGAATAAAGATGGGGAGGAGAGATGGTAATACTGGCCAGAGAAACTCTCCAAAATACATTCACTAACCACAAGCTGAAACCTATTAGCTCCTCCTCTGGAGAAGGATGAGGCTGGCTGTTCCAATAAAGATTTACAGCCTCTGAAAGCCCATACCGGGTCTCTGTGAGTCGGACCTGACTCGAGGACCGAGGAAACAAGGGAGCCCTGGAGGCACCGTGCAGCATTCAGCTGCTCACTTGCAAGGTCAGCAGTTCAAGCCCGCTAGCCATTCTGAGGGAGAAAGATGGAGCTGGCCCCTCATAGATTTACGGTCTTGGAACCCCGAAGGCCCAGGTCTCCTCTGTCCTATGAATGGTCACTATGAGTGGAAATCGACTCGATGGCAATGAGGTTGGAGTTTTAAAATAAAGATGATGAAATAGAGTTCAGGTGTGGTAATGCTGTCTAATGCACAGGAAATAGAGGTCATTGGAATAAGGAGCTCAGCTCAGAGGGTGGAACTGGACCCGTCTCTTGATGAGTATATTTCAGTTCATGGTGTTATCCTGAAGAGCTCAGTCAGAATACAGGCCCGGGGGTTAGATAGTTTGGGTTTAAATCCTGGGATCACTCTTTGTGACCCTGATCCTCTAGTTTCCTCATTAAAATGGGAAAGATAATATTACCCATTTCACAAGGTGGTATGTTGTTCATTGCCACCAAGTTGATTCCATCTCATGGCGACCCCATGTGTATCAGAGCAAATTGTGCTCCCTAGAATTTTCAAGGCTGGGTGACCTTTTGGAAGCAGATAGTCTTCCCAGGCCCTACTGAGTAGTTCTAACCATCAACTTTTCAGCTCGCGGTCAAGCGCTTACATGTTGACATCACATGTAAGTGCCACATGAATCGAGATAATGCCTGTAGTGTATGGAAACATGGCATGTAGTAAGCCTTTAGTAATTGTTCACTTCTAGCGATCCACAAGGTTGGTGCTTCAAGCCCAGTAGCCGCTCCGGAACACGGGAGAAAGATGAGGCTTTCTGCTCCCATCAAGATTTACAGCTTCAGAAACCTGATACAGGGTCACAGTGAGTTAGTACCAACTCAAAGGCACTTAACAACAACAAGGTTTTAATTGAAGAGAAATTTGAGAATTATCAGCTAAGTGATCAGCATTCCAAATTGAATGTAAAATAGACTTCCATTGGCAGCAGTTCTCATGAGGGTGAGTTTGGTCCTCCGTGGATTCAAAAGAATGGGCCCCATAGTGTTACGGGATTCTGACCCAGATATTTTTCATGTTCTCATTTTTCACCTGAAGTCAACAACTAAATATTTTTAGCTTAACAGGTAATAGCAAATTACTGTGAATTGAAAAGTGACCCAAAATAGACCCTGTTATGGGCTAATTTAAGCTTGGTGATTCCCCTTTTCAAATTGTATTCTACCTACTTTTATTTTTTATTTTTGTAACTTTTGTATTGTGACTTATGTGATAGTTTACATGGGAGAACATTAGCTTTACATTCATCTCATTGTATATTGTTACATTGCCATGGTTACAATCCCCTCCATGCATCATCAACTAACCAAAGGGTATACCCCGCCAGCTTGTTCCCCCCACTCCCCCCAGTCGTCAGCACACAGTCCCTTTCCCTCTTTGGGTCTAGAGTCCCCAGCCGCTCCATCTCTCCGTGTCATGCCATCACTGTTTCTCTGGATAGGGTCCTGCACTCCCTTGATGGTCCCAGGGACCTCTGCTCCTGGACTGCAAAGTCAATCACTCCCCTTGTTTTGCTACAAAATGTCTACCTTTACATTTCTAACCCTCACAGTCAGTCCTGATAGTAATTATTCACTGTTGTACCACAAGAGTCCTATCCCCATCTCCTTTCATGAGTCCCATCTGGACAGATGGGATACTACTCAGTGGAGATTCTACCTTCCTCCATGCCCTCTGGATCTAGGCTCCCTCTTGAAAGCTTGTAAGCCAGTCACTTCTTGCCTTTGCAGCCCCTCTCTCCCCCATTTTGGGTAGCCAAAGTCCAAGTTGCCCATCCCTGTCTACCTTGTGTATAGAAGGAGTGGGAATGATCTTTGCTGTAAAGATTTGTTCCCTCTTTTGAGCTACTGCATCCATAGGTGTAGGTCTCTGCCTACTCCCCCCTTTTTTTAAGTGATTGGAAAGAGCAGCAGTCTCTCCTATTAAAATATGAAATTATTTCCAAGCTGAACATATTTCTGTATCTAAATTGGCTTGTTGGTTAATTAGTTCTGTCCTTTAATCTGTCAAGTTTAAATGGCACAAAGTCTACAGTGGTGCTTATGAAATAGCCTTTCCTTTTTTATGTTCCACGATCAAAATTGGTATCATTGTCAATAGAAATACTGTGTTGGGGCAACTTAGGGGATGGGTAAAAAACATTCAAACTGGCAGACAGGTTGATTATACTTGCAAAATCTTGCTACCTATACTAAGGTATTCTTTTGAGCAAGGATAGCATGTTGTAAAGAATCCTAGGATCTCTAAATTTACAGTTTTACATTTTCCTCCCCATCTGTCTTTTTTAGACAAGTGACAATTACAGTCCTTGCCGTCTCTTGTTCCCTTTCTGATAGCCAGCTATTACAATACAGATACAAGATACTACCAACCGGAAGGAGACCTTATAGTGTAGTGGGTTAGGAATTAGGCTGAAAACCACAGTGTCAACAGTTCAAATCTAGCAGCTGTTCCACAGGAGAAAGATGAGGCTTTCTGCTTTCGTAGAAAGATTTATAGCGTCAGAAACTCTATACAGGGTTACTATGAGTTGGAATCGACTCCACGGCACGTCACCACCACTACCACCAGAGACACAAATAAAACCAAGCTAAGATTCTTTTTTTCTAAGAAGAATAAAGTGGACCTTTCTCTGAAAAAAAAGATTTGTTGCTATGGAGTTGATTCTAACTCATGGTGTGACCCCATGTGTGTCAGAATAGAACTGTGTTCCATAGGTTTCCAGTGACTGGTTTTTAGAAGTACATCTGCAGGTCTTTGCACACTTGAATCCCCAACCTTTCCTGTAGCAGGCAGGCAGGCAGGCATTTAATCCCACTCAGGAACTCCTTCCAATAGTTACTTCCATGTAAAGTTCTCGTCACTTTCCTGAACATCAAGCTTATAAGTACTATGCGTACTATTTGCTTTAATCACCACTCTCATTGTAATTTGTTGTTGTTGTTGTTAAGTGCCATCAAGTTGGTTCTGACTTATAGCAGCTTTGTGTAGAGTTCTCGAGGAGTAGGTGGTGAGCTTGAACCACTGATCTTGCGGCTCAAACCGACATTGCAGTCTACCACATTAACCCACAGTGCCACACCAGAACTTCCTCATTTATGATGCTGCTATTCAGATCTGTCTACTGTTAATTGTTCGTTGTTGTGGTTAAGTGCCGTCACTTACAGCAACCCTGTGTAGAGTTTCCAAGGAGTGGCTGGTAAGCTTGAACCGCCAACGCTGAGATTCAAACTGACCTTGCAGTCCAGTGCATTAACCAGTCATGTGATCCCTGAAATTTATGGTGATAATGGACAATGAGCATTGGAGATACACTCAAAATGTTGTAACTGTCTGCGCTTTATTCCAAAAGAGTACTGTGAAACAAAGGTTTATGTTTCAAAACAAAACCAAAAAAATGGTGTTATTAAGGAAACACAATCTAAAATTGTATATAAGAAACATAGATTTAAAAAATATATTACAATATTAACATTTTTACATGAGACATATACAATCTAATTAGTCTTTTTTCTTTTGCCAGATTATGGCAGAAATATCTGTTAAATTATCACTGTGACTCAAGCGTTTCCTTTTAAAATTGAGTCATTAAGATACCATCCTCTCTTTTGGTATACTTTCAAAGAGTCTGTGGAAAATGGAATGAAAAGAGAATGGGGATTGTCAACCAACTTTTTGAAGCCCCCTGGTATTATTTCTTTTACAAATTAGAACTTTGTTTTATGTCGTTTTCTTAAGCTGTACAAGTATGTATCCATTTAATTTTATGTTGGAGGTGGAAAGTTAGAGCACAATGAATCCTGATTGGAAGGTGAACAATCATTTTGCTTTGTAAGCCCTGCAGAATCCTCATGCAGTTTCTCATGCTATAAAACCAAGATTTCGTTCCTTTTTACATTGACTTTCCATTTGAAGACTTGAAATGGATCATCGTTTGTGTTTCTGCCATTTCTCGGGAGTTTTCTTCTGGGGCCGACCTCACAGCACTGGAAATTGATACGCTGACTTGGCGTTTCAACATCTTCATAACTTTTCTCTTGTAACCTTTACATGCGAAGAAGTAAATGAATGGGTCCATGCAGCAGTTGAAATTCATCAGGCACACAGTGAAGTGTAGAGAAATCTGGAACGAATGTCTTTGGCTACAGTCAAGGAGGTCAGAGAAACGAAGTTTCTTAATCATGTGTTGGATGATTGCAATATGATAAGGTGTGAAACAGATAATAAACACAATGATTATGAAAATGATCGTGTTGAGGGCCTTTTTGTTGACACCAGATTTCTCAGTTAGTGGGTTCTGTTTGGCAGTTTTAAAGAGTTTGCAACAGATTTGGGAATAGCAGATGAGAATGATTATGAGTGGAAGAATGTATCCTATTAAACATGCACCAAGCAGAATCCAGGGAAGAGATTTGGTTTCTTCAAAGTTTGGGTATTCCATGCAGGTAGTCCTTTTAGCCTCATCCTTTGACATAGGTTTTATGAGGAGGGGGAGTGTTTGAGCAAATACTAGAATCCAGACAAACAGACAGACACCTTTGGCATGTTCAATTCGTTTCATCTTGTTGTAGCGCAGAGGGTGAACCACAGCAAAGAACCGGTCAATGCTCAGACAGGTCATGAAGTTCACACCTGCATAGGTATTAATGTAGAACACAAGAGCCGTTATCCTGCACAAGGCGTCACCTATTTTCCAGTCGAAGCCAAGTGCATAATAAGCTATCCGTGTAGGCAAAGCTGTGGTAAACAGTATGTCAGAAATCACCAAATTGGTTGAGTATAAGGTGGTAGAGTTGATTTTTTTCCTATTTTGGAAAATGACAACCAAGGCTAGTAAGTTCCCAAAAAGCCCAACGATGAAGACAATGCTGTAATGCAGAGGCATTAATATCCGGGCTGTGTTCTGATGCATGTACAGGTCACAGTCGTCTCCCTGAGGAGTGGTGGACGGTGTGGTCAGGTTGTAATCCATTTTTAAATCCTTCAGTGGTGCCCAAGGTCTCTAGGAAAATACAAGAAGGGTACATTTAATTCAAAGCATATTTAATTTCAAGAGGTATAAACGAATTGCCTTTTGTATCTCTGATTTTGAAAATTTCAGGATTTGTATAACTTTTGAAAGATAAATGATTACATTGTTGTTTTTGCTGTTAAGTGGCATCAAGTTGGTTCCGACACACAGCCACCCTGTATAGGGTTTCCGAGGAGCGGCTGGTGAGTTTGAACTGCCAACCTTGCGGTTCAAACCGACCCTGTGGTTGAGTGCTTTTCCTACAGCGCCACGTCATGTAGTTATTATATATGTGATCAAGATTAGGAAGGACAGAGTATTACATTTACATTTCTAGTCTCAGTTTTTGGTGGCCTTAACAAAGGCAGAGAAACTAATGCAAAGTGAAATGCCTATGCCGTGGGGTCAGTTCCGACTCCTGGCCACCCTGTTGGACGAGCAGGAGCTCCTTTGAGTTTCTGAAACTCAGTCTTCATGAAAGCAGGTAACCGAGTTCTCTGAGTGGCTGCTGAGTTTGAATGGCCTACCTGGTGGTTAGCAGCCCAACCCTTCTCCCACGATTGTTGTGTTGTTGCTATGAGTTTTGACTCATAACAACCCTGTACAGGGTTTCTAAGGAGTGGTTGGTGGGTTTGGAACCCCAACTTTGTGGTGAGCAGTCCAGTGCTGATCCTACAGCGCCACAACAACACTCTACTACTGGAACCATCTAAAGAGGGCAAATGTAGTTTTCACAAGAGAGAATGCACTAACTTTTTAAGGAGAAATTTCCCTTCCTTTTTCTGAATCATCGTCTGGCTAAGAATAAAATCAGTAAAATGCCCCATATTTCAGATAGCTGAGTATAAAATTGTGCTTTTATGTTGAATTTCAGTTGGGCCTTTTTCTTCTTCTTCTTTTTTTTTTTTAGCCAAATGCATATCACTGCCAGGAAATGAAATCGGTCACACATTTATGTAGTGAAATATGAACTTACCACAGTGATCTGATTTGTGCTAACCTAAAAAGTATGAGAAACAAGCTTAGATCTTGTTAGGAACTGAAAGTTTTCTTTAAGAAAAAAAAAAAAGAAAAAGAAAGAACTTACGTTACTTCAAAGGAAAAAAATTTAATTAATTGTAAACTGTAATGTAATTAATTGGATGACTCTGTAAGAATTCCTGGGACACAGGTGATAAACTTTCCTACATTTGCACTTGGTAGTAAGCATTGCATGTGACATGTTTTCTGATTTGCTTATATTCACTTCTGATTTTCATGGATCAGTGTTACCTATATACTTGTGCTATGGGTAGACATTTGATAGATAATACTACAATATTCAATATTTTGATGAATTTTGATTATTTTTTTTGTCGACAGAAGTTTAAAATCTTAAGGGGAAAAGAAGAAAACTGTAATATGACCTCATATATTGTAGTTAGTGCTGTTGAGTCAGTTTCTGTTGTGACCCTGTTTCTGAGGAACCTGGTGAGTTTGAACCACTGACCTTGAAGTTAACAGTCCAGTACTTTTCATACAGTGCCACACCAGGGTTCCACTGGTGAGTTTGAACCAGTGACCTTGAAGTTAACTGTCCAGTACTTTTCATACAGTGCCACACCAGGGTTCCACCCCATAAATGAGGGTGAAATTTGTTAATTAGGGAAGAACAGAGCAATACATTCTGTGGGATGGTTCATTTTAGAAGAAAAATAATTTATCTCATAGTGACAACATTTCTTTCCTGAAAATTTCAGCATACATAGTTTATTTGGAAGATTATTTCAAAGCAGGTTCGTGAGAACTGTCTTTTTAGCACATGGGAGGTAATCTGATAACTCTCTACGTGAATAATTATAATTGTAGAGTGAAAGCAAGCAAAGCTGATGGGAAAAGAATGCCCGTGTGTGAACGTGTGTCATCCGGTGTCCAGTGAGTCCAGAAATGGCAGGGGTTTCACATCACATTCAAGACAGTGTTATTTATAAAGGTGAAGAATTACAAACAAATCAAGTGCCAATCAGTACGGATTCGTGTAAATATTTTAAGGTACAGCCAAACATTGAAATACTATGTTTGCTGTTGTTTAAGTGCCGTTAAGTGGGTTCCGACTCATAGCAACCCTGTGTAGGGTTTTGGAGGAGCAGCTGGTGGGTTTGAACAGTCAACCTTGTGGTCTGCAGTCTAGTGCTGATCCTACGGCACCACACCTACTGTGTAGGTACTGACAGTGGCAAGAGAGTTGCTTTTTTTGTTGATGGGATAATGTTAAGTAAATGTAGCACGCCCGGGAAAAAACAAATTGAGGGAAAAAAGCAACCTTTTATATTTACACATAGAAAGATGTCTGTATATGGAAACTCATGATTTTGTAGAAATCTTCATTTTTTACTTTTATTTGTGTGTGTGTGTGTATATATATATATATATATATATATATATATATATATATAGTCTCAGTTCTTAACACTGAACAATGAACAGTGATTGGCTGAAATGAATAAATGGGTAAATAATAATTTTTTGGAAATCTGAAGAAAATCTATTATTAAGTTTAGCTACTCTTGTAAAAACTGTCCTCTGATAACATTTTTCAGAGCTAGCCCTTCAGTGCTCTTTAGTTTGATTTTGATTAACTTGTGTTCAGATTTATTAACTTTATTCCATGTAACTAACTTGTAGGTGCCTGCCATGGGTCACAAACTTTCAATCATGTCTCTTGCTCTGTTAACCGCGCAGCAACCATTCCAGCTAAGTACTATTATCACCTGTTTGCTTTCTAGGGGAGGAAACTGAGTTTCACAGCAGTTCAAGGTCATGCTAAATACAGGAGAGGGGGTGCTTCAAAAGTTCATGGAAAAATTCCATTCCTCCTTTAATGACATTTTTCACAAAGATTTTGAAGTCCTCACCCTACCCTCCCATACTTCTCCCTGCTTTTGTAGTGACCTGGTTTTGAGTGTCTCATATTCTATGCCATTTTTGTGTGTGGTTTTTTGTTTTTTTTTTTGCAGGGGCAACTATTTCATACTGTTCTTGAAGAACTGAGAGTTGGTGCTTTAAAGTTATCCAGGCTTTAAGGACCATTCGTACCTGTAAATAAATGCAGGGACACAGGTGTCCTGCTTGCTTTTTGAATGACAGCCCTTCTTTATCAGCCTTAGGATTATAAATGCCTCTTTTAATCCTTGCTCTGATATAACTTCATATTCGTTCTTGAATGTAGTATTTCCAATTAGTACTGGACAGCACTTCTGAACTGAAGCACTGAAGCTTGTCAACTTACTGCTTAGAGAAAGGCACACAACTCAGTGTGTTTTTCTCTAGAATGTATTTCATTGCTAATGGAGTTGCTAACATGTCTTTAGATACTATCATTGCATTTTTGCATAACCGGACATGTTGACATGAACTGACAAGTTATATCTAGCCACAAAATGGAAAAAAATAGAGGGCCCAAGAAAAAACGCATTTATTAGTATTTAAGAAAATGATCTAAGATCTGGTATAATTTTTCCCTTGGAAATAATTACCCTGGATACCAACTTGGAGGCATTTGTGATTTTTTCACAGGGTGCATTTATATTCTCCGACCCTAACTAAAGTTATTGGTTAGATTTTAATTGAGGCAGAAATAATAAAACACAGAATCTTTACTATAGTCAAAGATGTCGTTAGTGTAGAATACCAGCTTTTTAAGCCCTTTCATGGTCAGATTGTTTTCTCCTTTGAATTTTGTTGATACCACAGGTTTTCAGTAATGGAAGACATACTGCAATTAAGGGGGCAGAAAATTACTTTTTTTTGAGGTAATATGGATTTTAATGTAATTATACAGGACACCTGTACCTCAGGTAGGCTCTGGTGGCAAGATTGGAGGTCTGTGACCTGGGTCTTCAGATTCACACAGTTATTCAGGCCCCCACCAGACAGTAGCACAGACTACAGCTGAAAGAGCAGCTTCTCAGGAGACTGAGAGGCCGAAATTGTTGGTGGATGATACACGGGCCAGGAAAGGGTTAAAATTCCTGAACCATCATCCTTAGTCCTAATATATTATTATCTTAATAATATCAGTATTTTAAATGAAAGGAATTTTGTTTAAATTCAGGCTTTAACAATTAGTTGGATGGGTCAAGTTGTTCTGCAGCAATCATTGATAAGAGAGACTTGTATGTGTCAGGTCAGATTGGTCAAGACAGTTCATAAGGTGAGGTGATTGAACTCAGGGTGCCCACAGAGGTAGGCAGCAAAGCGGAAGTTTCAGGAGAACTCTTTCAAAAACAACACAGGGAGGCACAAATGTGCAGACATAACAGCTATGGATTATATCTTCATATTGGATAATAATTACTGTGGTTTGAGCCTATTTCTCATCTGATTTCTATTGATTATATGGCTCTTTGGCTGTTTTCTTGAGGCAAGCTAAGATTGAGGAGGAATTTCCAAAGCGGGGGTGGTGTGGGGGACAAAAAATCACTGGGAAGGGATTGGGAAGACGAAGGCTCATGATTAATTGAAGTAGCAAGGATATAGTATTGCTGAGGAAATAAAGACAAGCTTAGATGTGTCAGGATGGTATGCTGAGACTGTTTCAGTTCCCCTGAGAAGGGGCATACTCTGGGGAAGAAAGAAAGAATTCAGTACGTCCTCTTTCTAATCCCTGGTTTGATAAGTATTTGTTCATTTGGAAAAGGTCTCCCTGTTCTTGAAGTAGAGCAAACTGGGGCTTCTGAGTTTGGTCCATTGGCACACACACCATTGAACTTGTGATTTTTCTCACTTCCTTTTTAGTTGACTAAACAGCCGTCACCTGAGCTTTTCTGGGTGACATCTGCTTATAAACTAGACAAGTGGAAAGCATAAATGCGGAAAAGGCATCTGCAGCACAGACAGGCTGTGACCGGTACAGTCACAACCTCCAGGCACTCAGTGTGGTAAATTCAGATTGGCCAGGCCACTCAACCGCTGATCACCACCATAAGCAGCTCTGGTAGCGTAGT